AGGGAAAATTCTGGAATTTCGAATAGTCCAGTTTGATGAAAGAAATGGACAAGAGAATAATGAAAAGATCTGGCTGCAAAGGTAGACTGCAGAGATGCTGAGGAAGTTGGATTTCATTTTGTGGTGGACATTACATGTTTGAGCAGAGAAATAATGTGTAAGTTTGAGGAAGATGCACTGGTACTGGGAAGGGTCCTGAAATTATGAGTCAGGGCATACAACCAATCATCATCCACAATTCTAAATGTATACTTAAAATTTATTTTTTTCATTTATAAATTATAGGGAATCTTTAATAAAACATATGTACAATAAATAATTCATATTTGAAGATGCTCATCAACAGCTTCACGCCTTTACACTGGGAGAAGCTACAATACCAGGGAAATCAGAAGGTAATCTCAGTAGCTCTTCTACTTCTTCTTGCAAAGCCTCTGCTTTTTCATGCAAGAGCATCTACAATAAAAAATCAAGACATGAGAGCAAAATATGCGTTGCTAGAGAATTGCTAACATTTTAACCACTTGAATCCTTACACATCAGCAATCTAGACATTAAAACTAATAATGAGATTGAAAAATGGCCACTTAAGAACAAGTGATTACAGTAAATGAAGCTGAAGCATTTAGTTAAAGCCATTTTAGCTGATTGCTACATTTAGTATACCAAAAATAAAGGAACTTTAATACTCTCAAAGATGTTTTATTGAAGACTAGGCCACTTAAAAATTAACTTTTAATCTATAAAATCTAAGACGATTTTGCAAAAATTTAATTAGTTCTTGAAAATGTTATCCTTTATAAATACATTTTACTATTCCCCAAAATTTAGTATGCTATCTTTTAAAAACCTATCACCATTTCAGAGAAAAGTTTTACTTAAGCTCTTAAAATTAACATGGTTAATTTTAAAAGAAACATAATGAGCAAAGAAAGTATTTCTAAAGGTGGCACATGGTAGATACAAACGAGTATTTGCTGAATAATGCTTTTTCCCCTTTTAAAAACCAGAAATAAAATGTTGGTATTTGTTGCAGCTGGGTTTTGTGCATATTGGATTGAAGTATTTGTACTACTTCTGTCACAAAATTTTTATAATAAAAAATTTAGCAAAATCATATAGGAGAAAAAAATGATACAAAGTGAAAGTGAAACACCTACTCTACCAATTTGATATAAAGTATTTGTATTATATAGCATTAGGTATACTATACAAAAGACTAAAATGTAATTCCGTAAACTTTCCAGCAGCTGAGGTAATGGTGAAATGAATCTTACAACACATCCTCTAAAAACTATACAATAAACAATTAAATCTCACAAAACTCATGTATCAGCATTACTAGAACACAGAGAACACCATCAACCTCAAATTACTTGTAGTTAAAACATCCACCAATTTCCAGCTGAGCCATTTCTCAAGCTCCCACTCCAAGTATTTGCAGAGATCAAGGTGGGGTTGAGAAAAAAATTACATGAAAAAGAGAAGAGGAAAACAGAGGGTCTCAGATGAAATAAAAACACCTCTAGAGAGAAAGGCTACCCTAAGTACAAAAATACCGAGAAAAGAATCCTGGAATATTAAAGCATTGTTTGTAGAAAGGAACTTAAAGTGTCTGGAAGGAAATCTTGGAAAGGCAATATTTCTAAAGGAGAGAATGGGTAAAAAGGGAGAGGGGTCCTTTGGAAGCTGAACAGTCACGGAAAAAAAAAGCGGGCCGGTGGGGGGGCGGGGGCGGGGGCGGGGGGAGGGCGCAAAATTTAGGAGGCGCAAAATTTAGGAGCCTGTAGGAAAATTAAGGAAATTTTAAAAATCAAAGAACACAACTCTTCCCTGTAGTCCTCTCCCACCTCAAGCCGTTAAAGAAAGTACACTTTGCTACACTGACAGGAAAGAGAGACTCTTGAATTAAGATTCTCATAAACCACTCCAGATGGCCAACCCTGCCTAAGATACAGCAGTGTAAGCAGTTCTCATTATATAAGACTATTCTATAAAAAAAAATAGAAAATGACAATCGAAGCACTTCAGCCCATAAAAATTTCCTTCCCTGAAAGCAAACCATGAAGCAGAAAAAGTGTATGTAACATGATGCTCCAAACGAAATTAGTCTCAAATAAACATTTGGAGACATGGGGGAAAAACACATCCTGAATAAAAAGTTCAAAAATTAAGAACAGAAATGGACCCAAAACAAGAAAAAAATGAAACAAAATTTGAATAAAGTTGAGTAAGCTCTGGAAAGAAACCGAAGAAAAAGGCAGAATTATATCAAAAATAAAAACAAAATATGAGGTGTCCAAAGAAGCACAGATTTAAATAAAAACTTCATTAGGGTCATGGGGATAGGGGAAGCAGGAAAACAATCAAGTTAATGAAAATGAGATAAAGAAAGAAGTAAAAAGAATCAGAGATACTGAAATGGAAGGTAGGCAAAGAAGACCCAATGTACACATAATCGAAGTTGCTAAAAAAGAAAAAATCAAGCAATAGATCAGAGTTAATATTTAAAACTACAATCTAAGGAACCTTCCAGAAATAAAAGAAAATGAAGATATACTCTAGTAAAACTATTTGAATTTAAAGCTAAACAAAATAGGTTCGGGTCTTACATTTTCAAAAAAATAGAACAAAAAACAACAACAAAAAAACCCCATCTGTAAGGACTGAGGTGGGGAACTAAAATTGAATACAGACAGAATTTGCATTTCATAACCACACTGAAGCAGGTTAAAAAAAAAAAGAGTAACACTTGAACATATAATTTTGATTATATATCCTCAGATTAAAAACAAAAAGACCTGTAAATAAATACTGAATTCTAGTTAGTAAGTTTTCTTTCTCCCTAGTTACTACTGAATGAATCCTCTAGCGTGAGACTAGTGTGGTACTAGTGTGGAGGATGAAAGATAACTGGAAATCCTTTGACGCCTCCATTGACAAATCTAATTCTCTTGAACCTGTGCTGGCCTTGGTGATTTCCTTGTAACTAATAAAATGCAATGGAAATAATACCGCATGATTTCCAGGGCTCAGTGAAGAGAAGCCTTGCAAATTTCTGCCTTGGTTTCTTGGAATGGACGGTTCCCTAAGATCTCTTGAATGCTCCCTCTCAAATCTCAGCAACCATGCTGCAAGAAACCCAAACTAGGACTCTTCCCTTCACAGAATGGCGTTTCTGCTGCAATCCGAGCGGGTTCTCTACCTAGTTCTGGGAGAAAAGAAGGTTCGGGCCCCGCTCTCGCAGCTTTACTTCTGCCGCTATTGTAGTGAGTTGCGGTCGCTGGAATGTGTCTCATGAGGTGGACTCCCATTATTGTCCCCATTGCTTAGAAAATATGCCATCAGCTGAAGCCAAACTAAAAAAGAACAGATGTGCCAACTGTTCGACTGTTCTGGCTGCATGCACACCACACCCTCTCCACTCGGGCAACAAGCATCTCCATGCAGCTTCCAGATGACCCAGCCAAGTCCACCATGAAGAAGGTCTATTACCTGGCTTGTGGATTTTGTTGCTGGACATCTAGAGATGTGGGCATGGCAGACAAATCTGTGGCCAGTGGTGGTTGGCAGGAACCTGAAAATCCTCACGCACAGCGGATGAACAAACTGATTGAATATTACCAGCAGCTTGCTTAGAAAGAGAAGGTTGAGCGAGATCACAAGAAACTGGCACGGTGCAGAAACTATATGCCTTTGGCTTTTTCAGACAAATATGGTCATGGAACCAGGCTTCAGCGACCATGAGCTGGTGCAACCATCAGTACCCTTGCCGGAGTTTTCCTTAAAGAAGGAGAGGACCAGAAAGATAAAGATTGAGCCAGCTCAGGCTGTAGATGAAGTGGAGCCTCTACTCGAAGACTATTACACAAGACCAGTAAATTTAACAGAGATGATCACCCTTCAGCAGTGCCTCTTACAGCCTGACTTCCAACCAATCTGTGCATCCCAGCTCTATCCTCGTCACAAACATCTTCTGATCAAATGGTCCCTGCCCTGCCAGAAATGTGAACATAATGTGAGCAAGCCAGAGTTTAATCTAACATCTATCAAATTCAAAATCCAACTGGTTGCTGTCAATTATATTCCAGAAGTGAGGATCATATTAATTCCCAACCTTCGCTACATGAAAGAGAGCCAGGTCCACCTGACTCTTATGAACTCAGTGGAGAACCTCACCCACGTGACCTTGTTGGAGTGCGATGAGGGAGACCCTGATAATATCAATAGCCCTGCTAAGGTGATGGTGCCTCCCAAAAAGCTCATTTTAGCTGGCAAAGACGCAGCAGCACAATATAATGAGCTGGCAGAACCCCAGGACTTTCAGGATGATTCTGACATTATAACCTTCAGAAAGGCCAACAAAATGGGTATTGTCATCAAAGTGAGCCACAACATGAGGAGGGCAAAGTGACAATATGCTTTAAGATGAAGCATGATTTTAAAAACCTGGCAGCCCCCATCCGCCCCATTGAAGAAGGTGACCAGGGCACAGAAGTCATCCGGCTCACCCAGCATGTGGAACTGAGCTTGGGCTCCTTCTTCCTTAAAAGGTCCTACTGTTGGGCATATCCCAAAGGACAGTATCACTACAAACTTGTGTTAAAATGTGGAAGCTGCTGCTTCATTAGGCCTTGTTTATAATGATGTATCCGTGCACTACTGAATCAATCCTATTTCTAGGTAGGTGGGGGCATAAGCAAGGCATTAGGAATGCTAGGTAACAGCTGTTCCTCTTGCTCTCACTTCTGTTAACACCAGTATATCTGTGTCTCCCTCACTGAACCCTGCACGTTGAATATCAACAGCACAGTTTCATTCGAAGAAAGGGGATGGCTATTCCTTGGAGTGGCATTAGATTTACAATCTGAGGAACTCTGACATACCGTCTTCTGATCTGATCTCACAAAGGATCACAATCTCACGGATGAAACTTAAAATGATAACCAAAAGGTAAGACTTGTTAGCCATGATTCAGCATTGGTGTCAATATACCAACTGCTTTCTGCATTCCATTAGATATAACCTAGCAGTCTGTAAACATATCTTTTCTCTTGCGATCATGGCTCCCATCTTGCCATAGATTTCCATTTGACAGAAAAATAGAATTGTCACATTATCTTTAGTTTTGTGATGAGTGGAAGAACTTGTGCAATTCTTAAGGCGCTTTGATTTGCCTTCCTTCTAAGTGAATACAGGATACTTATTGACTGCTCTTAAAATTTTTTTCCCAGTAGAATATGGAACTTTTAAAAATGTGAGAGGCATGTGCTTATATGTCATGTCAAGGGAGTAACAAATTCCATTCATTTTAAATGTTGCCACAATATCCAAGGATTAATGCTGACACAGGGAGGCAATCTTTAAATGTCTTACTCCCTACCTCTTCTCTGCTCTGCCTCTTTGACTCAGTAGATTGTTCTGTGTATTTGGGACCTGAAAAGAGCCCAAAGAAAACCTGGTGGACAAGTTCACTTCTGGAATGCAGAAAACATTTAAAGGTTACATTTTTAGCATGATCTGAACTAATATTCTTTCCGTTGATTTTAAGAAGAAATTAAGTTATAATCTCTTGAATCCAAACCTGGATATTAAGAAAAAGAACCTTTCTTAAGTTTGACTTTTATCATATGGTATGTTTTGATTGTAAACCATAAAATAGCTCAGCAAGTAACCCAGAGCACTTGCCTCATAGCCACATGCTGTATTTGGTTGATATCCTAGAGCTAGATCATTAACCTTAATTTCTGTGATGTTTTCTAAAATGAGACTTGACGAAGCAGACAACCAGCTGCACTACGTTTTCTATAAAAGCATTGTAAGCAGTAGCCAACAGACTTCTGGTGAAAAGAAATTTCCTTTTTATCCTGGTTTTGTTTTTAAGTTCAAGCCTTTACTTAAAACAAAAAAATTAAGATATATAGTAATGTAGAATACAGACAGGACATAGTATCTTGTCAGCTCCCCCTGGAAGATAAGAATATTTAGGAAGCCCTTGAAAGACTCTAAATTGCATTCTTAAGGTCAAGCAAATTTTATGAAACAATGTTCCACAGAGTAATATATATGCTGCAGTGTAAGAAAAAATACTCATATCTCTAATATTATGACAGTAATAAGTAAGGTTTAGCCTCTTAGGAGTGGGGGCAGGGATTGTGTAATGACAAATATGCAGACTGTAGAAATAAATAGTTTAATTTGTTGTGGCTCCAGAGTGTTAAATTAACTTTTATTTCACTATCCGCTAGAGCCTACTGTGAAGCCACTCCTCCATATTTGCCAGTGGAGGAAATGGGCATCAAAGTAGAGAATAGCTTCCTATGTTTGCACATCTGCATAGACTACACACAATTGTGTGTCATGAGTTTATGGCGTGTAGCTGGCATTTGTTCCCAAAGGTAATAATGTTGAAGTAAGGGGTCTCGTTAACCCCCTGTGATGCAGAAACACAAAAACACTTGATCATAAAATTTTTTTCATCAGAAACCAAATTAACTTGCAGAATAACAGCCATTGGTTTGATGTTTCCTCAAGATAGTTTTTCGTGCAAGTCAGTATTCTGTGTTAGTAGATGTGGTTCAATACCTACAGCTGGTGAATTCAGAATTTTGTTGTTTTTTATATTAGATCAGGTGCAAGATTTTTAATGCAGTCAGTGTGCACTACTGCAGGCAAATTAGATGTCATTAGCACTAGAAACTACAATTTTGGAAACTTAAAGCTGTAAGTTTGGATTCATGATTTGAATAGTACACCAAAGTTTTCTTTTGTTCAAAGTGCATATAGATGTAATGGGCTAAGAGTGTCATACATATTTGTAAAGAAACATCCTTTTTGGTCCCTTTTGGGAATGAGATGCACTTCTTGATCTTTATGAATGATAGGTTCCTGTTTTGCTCTACTGCCTAATGTAGTGAAATAAAGTGACAAAGCTTGAAAAAAAAAAAAAAAAAAGAAATCCAAGCTACATGGAGATTAAAAATAAAAAGAACCTTTGAAGCCTTGAACCTCTGAAAAAGTTATGTAGCTGTAAACACAGGCCACTGCTTATGGAAAAGAAAGAATGCTTCAGATGAGAAAATCCAAAGTGAGGAAGAATCATTCCCAGGGAGCAGAACTGGGTCTTAAATAAGGAACAAGCCCCATATGCCTGGCTGGATTTCAGAATCTACTTCTATGTACCACCTTGTTTGAACATCATAGGTGGTGTATCTCCTTAGTTCATAGGTCTTCAAACTGAGAGGAGCCACCATACTTATAAAATAGCACTCAAGGAGCACCATCCATACCTAGAATTGATTTAGAAGAAGTACTAGACCTCGAGGTCCAGCCTGAGTCTGAGGCCAGAAATGAATAAATCTGTTAGGGATAAATATATTTTGCATGTGAGAGAGATGTAAATAACTTGTGACGAGAAGGCAGACATTAATGATGACTGCAAATCATTTGGCATTTCCCTCATGGAGGAATAGGGGTCTAATTCCCCTTCCTTTTGATCTGAGCTGATCTTAATGGCTTTCTAGTAATCAACGGTATACAGCAGAAGTGACTAGTTCTAGTTCAGGAGTGACTAGATTAGTTCAGGAGATTTCTTGCATTTTATGCCTTTATTTCTTAAAATGTTCATTTAAATGAACATGTAACGAATGTATGGACATTTAAGAAATGTTCATTTCTTAAAATGTTCATTTAAAATGTTCATTAGTTCAGGAGATTTCTTGCATTTTATGCCTTTATTTCTTAAAATGTTCATTCTCTAGATATTTCCTCTTAAAACCTGGCTGCCATGCCATGGTAGACCCAAGCCCTATGGAAAGGCCATATGTAGTTGATCCATTTAAAAGTTCCAGATAACAGTAATTTTCAACTGTCAGCGATGTGAGTGAGCCATTTTGGATATCCAATCCAGTTAAGCCTATAGAGAACTATACTCCAATTGAAATCTGACTAATTACAATTACTGACTAATTATTCCAAGAATCACCCCACTGAATCCTTCCAGAATTCCTAATTCACAATAACATGAGCAAAATAAAATAGCTATTTTGACCCACAAAGGCAGGTGATACTGCCTTGACCAAATGATCAAAGTTAATATCACTAATGGAACAAATGGACACCTAAGGCTCCTGATATAATGTACTATGAAGGATACACACCATTTTTTGGCGTTACTGAAAAAACTGCATAACCTCAATATAATCCTAACTGGTTTCCTTATTTCCAGTCTTGCTCCCCTATTTGCAACTCAAAATCCTGCAAGGAATATCTATTTTTCTCTTTCTGCTAGCTGGAAAGTGGAAGGAATAGTGAGAACCAGAGCACATATCTTAGTCCATAAAATGGAAGCCATGTGTTTGAGAATGGTGAGAAATGTAACGAACGTATGGGTCCCTGGATACAACATTGATTCTCCATATCAACTATGAATTTATTATGCTTGAATTTGCCTAATAGACTTTTAAAATTTAGTCACGTCTTTTCGCCATTGTTACTGCAGCTCCATCTGTATCTTTTATAATATACATTCTAACCTCTTAGTTCTGGCTCTCCTACTTACTAACTAGCTGTTTCTTTTCCTTGGATAAATTGCTTAATTTCTTTAAATTTCATTTATTCATTTAATCAAATATTTATTAAATACCTACTCTAGGCTGAGTACAGTGCTAGCTGCTGTGGCAATGGAAATGACTATAACTTCATACCTAACAACCTGGAATTCCTAATCTAATGGAACAAGGTCAGTTTTAGTGTCCTTGAATTGAAGATAACACTGACTCTGCCCACCTCACAGGATTGTTGTAAAGATTAATGAAAGTAATGTAAACAATGTGAGCACATTAAAAAAAGTGCGATGGAAATTTACTTTTTAGCTAATTCTGATCTGTATATGACAATTGTGTAACGATGAAGTTTTTTTTAAAGTTAAGCATTTCAGGTCCTGAGAATGGAACTATAGTTGAAATCCAAAAGGAAATAACCTCAAACTGCTGCACACAGAGCGAGAGGGTAATGACAAATAGGACTGCACCTAGCAAAGGGTAACTAGGACAGTGATAGATTATTTAACATGGATGAAAGAAACAGAAAAGAGAAACAATCCGCTGGAGGCAATAAGAGCTGTTTTCAAATATGTGAAAAACTACCATATAGATCCAGAGAGCAGTACTACAATGTAATGGTCAACATTTTAAGGCGGCAATATTGAGCCTCATAATACTGGGATGCTTTTTGTAACTCTAAATATATCTAGAAATAGAACCACCTAGTTTTGAGGTTGTAAGCTTGTTGTCAATGAAGGTGTTCAAAGGTGGAAAGACCAGGTGTTGAAGATCCTGAGGAAAGGACTTTCATGAAAAAGGTATGAGGAGGCAGAATTCAGTGAGTTTTAGAGTCTCTGTTCTTCACTGAACTCTTGACATTATTTTTTAGGAGGTCTTTTTTCTCTTTTTAGCAAGCCTTGTATCATAACAGATGCACTATTTTTATCCACATATTGTGAGTATATACTTTTGTGTCTATAGTTAAATGTTTTTGTTTTTATGTCTAAGGTATAAGGACATAACACTACAAAATATCATAAAGGTTAAAAAATGGTTTGCTTACCTTTGCTGAGGAAACAATTTGCTTGGCCTGGCGCCTTGATAAATGATCAATTGTCCTTATCAGCACTTCAGGATCTGCGTTAGCTAAGTGCGCTAGACTTTTATACCCTCCATTGTATAACTGTTTTGCTCGACCCTGAAAAGTATTTAAAAAAATCAGTAGGATCTGAATTTGGGATTAGGAAAAAATAATTAAAATGTCTTATCGAAGGGAAAAATGTCACATACAAGAGATAGGCATAAACTAAGATAATAAGGTAAAAATGAAGAGATAACACATCAGAATCCTGAGAAATTTTAAAAGACTCATTTAGGTGATTCTAATTTGACTGCAAGATAGCCTTCTGTGTAGCATAAGTCAACTGATGTTGTAATTAGCAATGAAAAAATCCATTAAGGTCCTTAGGCTAGAGGCATTATTTCAGACTGCAATGAAAATGTTCTAGTCCAATATCATTAAGTTCTAGTCCAATATCATTAAAATGTTCTCATCATCTACTTAGGGGACTGTGTGTGTGTGTGTGTGTGTGTGTGTTCTGAATAACAGAGAATAAACTTAAAGGTTGGTCAAAACAGAAAGCTAAAAAGCCAGTTGAGGATACTTTCTTTTTACTCTATTAAAAATGTAAATAAGCCTTTTTACCAGTACTTTAAACGAACACTGAGTCTAAACTGACAGAAGGTAATTCTTCACTGGAGAGGAGAAAGGAAGAGATGCTAAGGATGGGTGACAGCACCCATATACTTAGGGAGTGTCATATTTGTGCTTCAGGATTAACAGGATTTCTAAGAGGCCATGACAGCAATTTAAAAAGAAAAGAAAAGAAAAGAAAAGGAAAAAAAAAAAAAAAAGACTTCCATGACAAATGAGCAATAAGGCTGTTATTGTTACCTACCCTGTGACAAGACTTCACAGTTAGGTGAAATCATCTCAGCTGGGAAAATGGGAAGCTACTAACCTCTAAAACTCCAGTCACTTCCATGAGAGGGATTAACTCTGCCTTTACACAGTAAGTCAACTTCTTGGTAAGTTCTACCAAAAGGGCTCTATAAACCCAAAACTCCTCAAGTTCCTGCAGAACACAAAGAAATATACAGAATTTAAACCTGGTAAGTTATTTCAAAGTTTAGTTTGCATGGCAGGGGACTCAGAGAGGATGTTCCATTATGTAAGTTCTGGAACTTGAGTTAAGCCAGAGGTGAACAATAATTCCAAAAAAAATTGTCATGAGAAAACATGGCAAAGACTCTGATAAATTTAATGATGTGGTGTTAAGAAAAAGACTGAAAACCAAAAAATAAATCACTAAGAAGAGTTCTATTCATTTTTATCAAAACACCAACAAGTGATTGCATAGTTTTTCTTTCCCAAATGAATGAAAACAATTCCCACCTCTGGGGATATATCCTAAAGACAAAATATTAACTATGAAAAGATGTAAGTGCATGATGATGTTCAGTGTAATGATATTTAAAACAAAAAAAAATATTAGAAGCCATGAGTCAATAATTACTAATGCTGGGTGAATAAATGGGTATTCATTATATTACTGTCTTCTTTTACATACATTTGAAATTCCTATATACTAGTTTATTTTTTTAAAAGTCCCTTTCCAACATTTCTGTATCACTGTGAGAGTATGTGATGCATGGAACAGCATTAGTTAGTCATTCTGTGACCACCAGGAAAGTAGTCAATGTACTAAAGATGAAAGAGTAAAGAGAAGAAAAGTAACCATGAATAAAACTACTGAATCAATCACCCCTGGAATTGCCTTAGCTCTAGCTTTCCTATCGTTTTAACTTTTTTCCTATTGTTTAAACTTCTACAGAGTTTTCTGTTAACTTGCAGTTAAAGGCATCTTAATACAATTGGTGTACTATTTTATACCACTTACATAACTATTTAAAGAGAAAAAAACCTGTTAAAATATTGAAAATATATTCTTGAAAGCACAAGTTGTCAGGTAGAGTTTTCCTGAATCAATCATCATAAATTTTAGTGGTTGTTTTTCAAGTTTGATGTAAAGATTCTTTTACTTGAACAATTCTACAGGCTGAAGTCCTTATAGGCCTAATTGAAACGAAAGGATAGAATATTATGGAAACACCTTTAAATATGAAGAACAGAAAACTTAAAAAAATATATTTTAAAGACTAGCTTATTATTCATAATTTTTGTATACTGCTTAGCTAGCCTATGATTAGAAAATGGAAGCTAATATTAAAAAATCAGCATAAGTAGAAGATATTTAGAAAGGTAAATGTGCTAAAATAATTATCTTTCAACCAAAGTCAAGTATTTTGGATTATTTACTCATTAGTACATATGACAGAATTAACTGCCATATACATACATAAAATATGAAGATTTAAGATAGAGAAATGAAGATTTTAAGTCTAAAAATAGAATTCATGGGAGAAAAGTTTTTTTAAAAATTGAGTACAGAAACAAATATGGAAAGGATTATGTCACCCAATAATAAGAAATTTAAATGCAGCAAAATGGCTTATGTTATAAATTCATCAAAAAAATTATTTGAGTAGGAAAGACTGGTAAGCTTTGTTGTGTTATTTAAGGAAATTCTTAAAGCTCCTTTTAGTAAAATAGGTATAAAATATAATCCCAAATACATATGGCTGAAATAAAGTTTTCTCAAATTATTTTATAAAATGAACATTTATTGTAGAAACCTAAAGACATTGGAAGCAAAAATGGTAAGTTACTGAGGCAATCAAAAGAACATAGTACTAAGTAGTTACAAAGTAGCTGTTGGATATTGATAACATACTAATAAAATCCTTCACATGGTTATCACTCATAAGAAACTACACAGAATCTACATCAATGGAGAAATGTAATTTTAAGAGTTGATTCCAAACACTTGAAACTATTAACGGTGGTTCTAAGAGTAGGGATAACTAGGTGCTTTCTACTTGTTCTTTACATATTTTGGTTGATTCTGTCATTTTTGTATCCTTACTATAAGTATGTATATAGTATTTTTTTAAGTGGAAGAAACAAAAATATATTTTAAAATATTGTGAGTGCTTTGTAATAACAGAATAAGTCAACGACGAGAAAATGCTAACTGGTTAATGAGTTTAGTAACAGTTAAAATAAGAAAATGCAAAATGCGCATGTAATCTAATTAGTGGAATTACCTCACAGAAATGTAACACACAAGATGAGAATGTGGCAGCTGCAGTGAGAAGATTTTGTACATATCCTCGAGGCATATTAAATTTTTCAGACACATTCCAAATGTTGGTCTCTTTGAGCAAGGTATAAAGAATAAAAGACAGGTATAGTCTGTTGACAATGTTCTTGTCCACTTTCTAGAAAGACACAAATAAATTTATGTACTAAACCTGCTAAAAATGTATATTATATTCAAATTGGACAAAAGGTAAAGTGAATGAAGTTGTACCAAGGGAGAGCAAGGATAGAATCATTCCATAGAAATAAAATTAAGTTCTAACATACGTACCCCTTAGATTAATTCAAATTGATTATCATTTTTTCAAGTATTAAAAAATATATGCCAGTTTATTTCCAATTTAAATTAAACTTCTTCCTATAGGGAGTGTAATAGGTTGAACTGTGTCCTCCCAAAAAAGATACATTTAAGTCCTAACTCCTGCTATCTGTGAATGTGATCTCATTTGAGAATAGGAACTTTGCAGATGTAATTAGTTAAGGATCTTGAGAGGAAACATCCTGGATGTACAGTGGGCTCTTTAGGGCTCTTTATTCAATGACTGATGTCCTTATAAGAAGAGAGGGCACAGAGTGACACAGACAAGAGGGCAATGTGAAGATGGAGGCAGATATTGGAGGGATGCATCTACAAGCAAGGGAAAACAAACCAAGGATTGCCAGCAACCACTGGAAGCTAGGGGAGACAAGATGGTTTCTTCCTCTGAGTCTCCAGAAGGAACCAACCCTGCCAGCATTTTGATTGCAGACTTCTGGCCTCCTGAACTGTGAGAATAAATTTCTGCTGTTTTAAGACACCCAAGTTTGTGCTAATTTGTGACGGTAGCCCCGGGAAAATAGAGGAAAGGAAGGAGCTGAAATCTTTACATTTCCTGTGGTATTCATAGGTTGTATATATGTGTGACTGTGACAATTTCTATTCTGTGTACTTGCTCTTGTCTGTGGTGTCTAGTGACTATTTTTTATGTAAAGTATTTCATAGTTAATACCAAGCTAACTCTAAATAACATACTTAAAATCGGAGGGGAAAAAAGATAAACTTAAAAGAGAAAAAATAGGTATAAAATACAAAATGATATATAGAATATCTGAGATGAGAACTTAGACCGACATTTTGAAGGATATATAAATTAAGATTCTGCATGTTGATACTGTATGTAAGAGTCACTCTTTTAAAAAAGCATTAGGCCAAAAAGCATGAATAACAAGTTGAATAACAAGTAGGAAAAGATCGCTTTTAATTTCCCAACTTTAGTGCACCATCATTATTAACCAGAAATTGATTCAATGTAGATTTTGCTTAGAATGTATTTTCTAAGTCCAGAAAAATGATATCATTATATAACACAGTAAGATGCTTTATGCCAATTTCAAGATCTTTTACAAGAAATGTTTAAAGAAAAGGGTAGGTCTTTTTCAATGTGGAGAAATCAATTAGATTTTAAGTAAATACCATGTTCTCTAGAATTACAAAAAAAGATACTCCAAAATTTTAAACTAGTAACATTTGTAATTAAGATAAATTCATGCTCATACTGTTTTAAACATTTCATTATCAATTGAACAAACATTTATTGACTGTATTTCGTAAAATGTAACAAAAACGAATTCCAATTCAAGTTTAAAGATACATTATTCTAATAAGATTTTGTAAATGTTTATTATTTTGTAATGATTTCCAAATTAATGATTTTTTAAATAATTTTGTTTTCATTTTATATTTTAGAGTTCAATATAAATGGTTTGTTTTAAGAAATATTTTTACTCAACATTTTGAAGGTCTAAACAATATAGCCACTTCTGAGGGAAAAGAATCAATCTAAACACTGTGAATGTTGAATACAGGTATTTATAGATTTATGATATAGCAATACACGGGGTAGTTGCACCATTCATTTCAAATGAGAGTAAACACTATCTTCCATTTTTCAAAATAAAATCAGTAATATGTATGTAAATTTAAAAGATATAGGGGGAAATAATAGGTAAGATAATTAGATTTCAATGACTATTAGATTCCAAAGAAAATTAAAAATGAAAAACAGTATCATGAGGAAAATGATATTAACAAGGAATTTACAGGCATGTTAGCCAAAGAATTATTTCCATTTCTTTTAAAGTTAATGTAGCTTTAAACACTTGCTTCATGCTTGATGACTGAACTTTAAAACTTTAAAATGTGTCACTCACAAGAGTATTAGCTTATTCGCTTCAACCTTCTAGAATGCTTCATGTATATCAATACTAGATTTGGGAGTTCTTTGAGGACAACAAACAACAATAACAATAAAAACCCCAAACCTGTCCTATCTTAGAATCCTTGATACCAAGTAGAATGCCTAATAAAAAGTTTCTAGGAAAAATATTTTTCTCCCTTGAATTGAACTTATTTCAGGGTTACATAATACCATCAAAACATTTTATAAATATTTTATAATTTTTAGAATATAAGCCATAAGTAGCCTAAGAATAAGGTTTACCCTTTCCTATGATAAAAGCTGTATATGTGCATGACAGAATATTTCAGAAATACAAAGGTACAAAAAAAAGGCCATCACACTACCCAGAAATAAATACTATTATTAAAAAATGCCTAAATTTCTGGTCCTCAGATGTCCTAAGTAGTAAAATGGGAATTATATTAATTTAAAGGAAAAAAAGGTGAAACAAAAACAAACATCAAGTTAACAAGTTTACATTTCCTGCGGTATTTATAGGTTGTATATATGTGTGAATGTGACTATAAATTAGACAAATGCATTTATTTAGATAAATGTTAATAAGTTGTCTATGTAGTAAACTAAGAATAAATATTAGATTCTATGATACAACAGCATTAATTTTGTTAGATGAACCTAGTTATTTAGGAAGGAAAAAAAGACTGTGGTACCTTCTTGATAGCCTGACCTGATGCTTTCTTCCCAATATAGTTTTCTGAGACTCCAACAAGAGCGGCTGCATTTTGTTCTGCTGGACTGAGCTGGCTAAACTACATAGAAAAAGAGTAAATATATAGAAAAGTCAAATTGTAACTTTAAAAATAATCTGCCATTTGAACCAAATCCAGTATTTCCTGTGATATCACATTTTCATGATTTTAAAGGATATGAAAAAAACAACGCAAATTATATTTACAAATACTGAAAACTTAAAAAAAAATTAAAATATAACATACTTTAGTAGAATTGTTTAAAGACATGGTCACAAGTACTGTGACCATGGAGTATGGTTTCCATGGACTGTGATTATGTTTAATATTAGAGATGTCTAGGGAGAGAGAGGAGGAAAGTCTTTTGAAAATAACTGCATTATACAGTATCACTTAAGAAAGTTTACATTAATAATTTTAAAATATATTAAAAAGAAAGTTAATTACTTACAACTAAAAGCTGCATATCACTTCCGCCTAATATATGTTCATGTATAAGTGACTTTACAGTAAAGTCTCAACAGAATATATTCTACCACTTGCTTTTGTAAAAAAAGGGCCACTTCCACCCTGCTACAAGGGTCAAACTGATATTCCTTCTCAGGTATTAACATTAGCAGGTTGGGTGTATCATCATGCTTGGCTCTGATAGAGCTTTCATGGAATTAAACTCTCAATCATCAGAGACAGCCTTTACGGCTTTCTTTATATATTAGGCATTATGAAATGTAGTGGTCACCAAATTAGAACGGTAACTATCTGGAATGGGAAGAGGGATGATCCTTTTTTCTTTTCTGTACTTTTATTTTTTTGATAATGAACATGTTTATATTTAACAGAAAAATAATATTTGTTAAACAAACCAAAACCAAAAGTGCTATTGCCATATTACTATTTTAAAAACTGAAAGAACTAAAGGCCCAATTTCAAATCTATTTTGTTAGGAAAAAAAGTGAATAATCACTTGACAAAAATCATATCATTATTAATAGACTAAGTAGTCTATATTGAAGAATCTTACAGTCTCACCTGTCTGAAGTATATCATCCAATCAGGGTCACGCTGAAAAGCCATATCATAGGGAGTGGTTAGGTAAATTAGATGAAGAAGGCTTTCAAGCACAAGGCCTTCAAGGCCTTTCTTCAAGTCTCTGTAGAGAATGTCACAATAAGCCAAATCTATAGTTCCTAAAAGAAAGATACAAATATTTAATCTTTTTTAATTTTCAAAGGGGGAAAGAGATGATTTCAAAGAGTCTTATCTAGAAGTTGCCAAAATATAACAAAAAGTCCAAAATCTCTTACATAATTTAGCACAGCTATTTTGGAGGTCATTTTCATAGTATCCATCTATTTAGTAAGTACATACATTCTGACCCAACTACTCTGTTCTGGGGAATCTAACCCAGAAAAACAGTTCCACATATATCCAAAAATACATGAATAGAGATGCCCATGCAGCCTTGTTTATAATTGAGAAAAATCAGAAACAGAGCAAATGTCCATCAACAGAGGAATAATTAAATAAATTATGGCATCCATACTAAGAACGACTGAACTATAAAAAGAAAATGAGGTAGATTTAAAGAGATTGACATGTTAAGATATTCACAATATCTCACACATGAGAAAAACAAGCTGCTAAAACATACTTACAAATCATTTTTTAAATGATTTCATTTAAAAAAATAAACTGTGCATATGCACATATGTGTGTATATATGTATACACATCCAGACAAATGTATGCATATATATATATACACACATGCATAACAATATTTGGAAGGACAGATATTTCAAACTGTTAATGGTGGTAGCCTCTGGGAGAGTGGAAATGGGACAGGAGTATGGGATTTTCCTTTTCATAATTCTGAGTTCTAAGAATTTTTTTTAACAACAGACATTATTTTTCATTAAGCAAATGATGATGTAGCCATTAAGAAAAAACAATTCACTGTCATGGATAATTTAGCAAAAAAAGCAAGTTCCAGAACAACATAAATGATCATTTATTTAAAAACAAAAGCTTAAAAAAACTTTAAACTTGTATATATGTATGTATTATGCACTGAAATTAAATATACAGAAAATGTCTGGAAAGATATACACAAAATTGTTATTCTTGGTAGGATATTAAGATTTCTGTGATGGCTGGGAGAGGGGAGTGTGGAGGAGGGATGAATACTTTTTTCTCTATATACTTCTGCAGTACCCTATATTGTAATTCAAAACATTTTTCAACCTTTTAATGTTGAAGTAGTCTACAGCTTATTATTATAAAATAAATTTATTAATATAAAATTACAAATCCAATTTAAAGTAACAGAATAATTTTTTATTTTTTCCAAAGCATTCCCTCAGATTAATAATGAGATTTAGGTAAACTCTTACCCTTAAAAGAAGCTCGTCCCAACCTTGTAATATGAAAACTATACTGGAACTCTTCTTTAAACTCACATAGAGCGTCCTTTTGCATACGTCCTTTTTCTGTCAAAATAGTGTCTTTTTGCAGGAGTCCTTTTTCTATCAGGTATCTAAGTGATTCGACAGTTATTTCCCAGAGACTTTTTTCTTTCAACAAAATCTTTTGCTGAACACCAAAAAATGTACCACTCATAAAGTGATATATGTCATGGAGATTTGTTGCGATCTGAAACAATTCAGGACATTAGAACATTTTCCTTAATTCAAGACATCACTTTGAATGCATATTATTCAAGATGATGATTCATTTTCATACCTCAAAGTTATCTAAATAAAATCTACATAACTGCATATATGTAAATAATTTTATGACATTTTAAAATTAAGAAAAAATATTTTAAGGGAGAAGACAGTTATCATATTCATACTTTTTATGAAAACATCTACACATTTTTCACTTAAATACTCCTTAGGATTTTGACTAATTTTTCATAATATCTCCAAAGCTGTGCTGTTTACTACTCCTCATTCCCACTGTCTCTTTCAGGAATCTCCCCTTCATCCCTTTCTAGCCACCTGTGAGAACATTCTTTAGCTCTAAAAATTGTATTTAAAAAAAAAAAGAGAGAGAGACATATGGAAAACATATCTAAAAGTCTCCACTGAAACAGGATCAGGTAATACTTTCCCTGACATATTACATAAAAATAAATGGCAGTTTTCTACCTCTTTTTGTCTTTCTCACTCCCATCTCCTTTTTCTGTTCTTTTGCTGCCTTTTTCTCTCCCCCTCTTATTCACTATTTAAAACTTATAATGGCAATCATAAGTAATAATTAACCTTCCATTTGGTATTCAGATATAGAGCTGACTGTGAATTAGAATAATTTTATATTAGCCAATTTCAATGAAATCAGCATTTTATACGGAAATATAGTCAATCAATAAGCATATTTCTCTCTTACAATTCTGATAATATTTCAACTGGAAAACATTAGTCATTTCATATCAAATCCACATAAAGGACAACAAAACATAATGACATTTCCTGTTGTTTCTTTTAATAAAAGTCATTCTTAATACAGTATTTACTTAGGCTAAAATTATACTTTTAAGATATTCAAGAACTGATAGTTTGTAAATTATCAATGTACTTATGTTTTACATTGTTTTCTACTATGTTAATTACAATGAACACTGTGGGTAAAAGAAAAACACAACAAAATAAACAAACTTTACTTCACCCTTCTAACTACCATAATGCTATTTTTCTACCCCTTTGTGATAAACTTTTAGACACAGTGATTTAAACCCTCTGGGCCAGTCTCTACCTCTGGCCTCCACAACATCTTAAAGTTGGATTTCCCACTGTTGCCCCGATCTACAAGTTCACACATGCCCAACTCCAATTAATTAATTAAAGCATTGATCCATTAATTAATTTAAGTACTTACTGAGAGCCAACCACATGCCAGGCACTGTGCTAGGCACTGGAAGTCAGTGATAAATGAAAATAAATGTGAATCCTGCTTTCACAGGGTTTACATTCCAGGGGGGTAAAGTTATTAGCCAAATAACTGTACTACCAAGAATACAATTACAAATTGATAGATGCTATTAAAAGAAAGGAATATGGTTCTACAAAGCATACAACGATAGACTGACTAGATTCAAGGGCATAGGGAGGCTTCCCTGAGGAAGCAATGGTTAAGTGAAAATCTGAAGGTTTAGTGGAGTTAACTGGACAAAGTTGTGAGTGAGAGTGAAACTGGAGATGGGGAAGTAAGATGGGTAAGTCCTAGGCTTAGGGAGCACTGGGGTACGAGGCAGCATAGTAGTTTGAGATATAAAAACAGAAGGCCAGTATGTCTGCAGGGCAGGGCGGGAGAAGGCTGGTGAGAAATGAGGATGGAGAGATAGGCAGAGGCCAAATCTACAAGGTAGACCATGATAAGGGATTAGCCCTAAAAGCAATGAGAAACTATTGACAAATTTTAAGCAAAAGCAAGTTACATGTTCAGATTTTACATTTTGATAAGATAAATCTATGTGAAGAATACTTGGAGGGGATGTGGAAACGCAGGGCAGAGTGAATGCAAGGAGACAAGTTAGAAGGTAATAACAGTGCTCCAGGCAAGAGACTGTAAGAGTGTGGACCAGCATGTGCAAATGCAGAGATATGGTTGAAAGCAGCCTACACAACCTACCTCTTTTTTAGATTCTTTTTGTAAAAGGAGAGTTCTACTACTTAATTCAAATGTATGCAAGGATCACAGATAAAACATGCAGTGTCTAACAGGGTGTCTGAAACATGATTGTGATAAACAATTGGAGGATTCCTAAATGTTATGGCCCAACAGCTGGTATGTTTTCTTATTAATTCTTGGAGTTTCCTTCTCTTCCACCAAAGCATGGACCTAGCCTCTCCAGGGATGCTTACCTCCACCCTCTGCCTCCTGACCTCACATTACCCAAATCACTCTCGTCTCTCACCCCTATTCCATCTGGTTGTTCCTGTCCAAAGGACCTGCTTCTGCTTCAATTCTAACTCTGAAGATTTTCCTGATTCTCCACTCCTACTATCATTCCAGCCTCCTTCTACACTACAGCTCTGTTGTGAACACCCAACCCCAGGTGTGGGAGGAACCCTGATGGCTTGTCCTCCTCAAGACTGACTGGGCCCAGTAGTTTGAGCTCTGTCTCCTATGGGCAGGTTTTAAACAATAGCTACTTACCTGCTAATCTGAACAGACTGCTGCCTGGACTTCTTGCTGCTGTTCTCCGATTGTTAAAACAGAATTTAAATGAAACTGCTGTGAGCTTTTCATCCTGGCTGTAAAACTATACCCTTGAGGCCAAGTTAATTCCCCCAGTGTCCCTGTTACTTGAGTTCTCTGGTCTCAAATGAAGTCCACACTCCCTCCCAATTCCATTGCCTTTTGCTGAGTCCTAACTCACATACGTATTTGTCAGATGTATGCATTATGAATATTTCCCCCAGCCTTTTCACTTATTTTAGCACTGTTTTTTAAAAAGAATTTTTAATTACGATGAAGTCTATTTAATTGATTTTTCTTTCATAGTTTGTTTTTTGTTCCCTATGTAAGAAAACTTTGCCTAACCAAAGGTAACAAAAATTTTTCTCCTATATTTTCTACAAGTTTTATTTTAGCATTTAAAGTTTAGGTCAATGATCCACTTTGAGTTAATTTTTTGGACTATGTGAGGTCAGAGTAGAGGTTAATTTTTTTTGTCCCATATGGTTAGCTAGTTTTTCCAGTACCATTTAGTGAAAAAACTATCCTTTCTCCATTTAAATATTGTGGTACCTTTGTTTAAAATTGATCATATTGTGTGGGTCTAATTCTGAACTCACTAATCTATTGGTCTGTATATCTATCCTTGCACCAATATCATACTGTCTTGATTACTGAAACTTTACAGTAAATCTTGTGGTAAAATAGTGTGAAGTCTCTTAACTTTGTTATTCTTTTACATTATTTTTGGTTATTCTACTCGTTTGCATATCCAAATACACTGTCGTATCTGCCTGCAATTTCCATAAAAACACTTAGAGATTTTTATTGGCATTGCACTGAAATTATAGACCAATCTGGGAAGAAGTACATCTGAACAAAACTGAGTGCTCGAATTTATGAACATGGTACCTCTCTCCATTTATCTTTAACTTTTCTCAGCAGTGTTTTAGTTTTCAGTGTATAAGTTTGACATATGTTAAATTTATCGCTAAGCATTTCATGTTTTTTTGATGCTATTATAAGTGGAAATGTTTTTCCAGTTATTTTATAGTAAGTTTATAGAAATACAATTGAGTATGTACATTAACCCTGTATCCTGTGACACTGCTAATTATACTCTAGCTTTTTGCATATTCTTTTGGGTTTTGCTTGAACTCAGTGTTATCAGCAAGTAAGATAGTTTTATACCTTCCTTCCCTATGCCTTTATTTTTCTTCCTTTTATCTTATTGTATTGGCCAGAACTTCCAATGTGTTGAATAGCAGGGTAAGAGCAGATATCTCTTCTTTTCCTGATCTTAGGGGGAAACATGTAGTTTTCGCCATTAAGTCTGATGTTACTTGTAGTTTCTTCTTCTTCTTCTTCTTCCTCTTCCTCCTCTTCCTTTTCTTCCTCTTCTTTTTAATAAACACCATTTATCAGATTGAAGAAGTTCTCTTCTACTCCCAGACTGCTGAGTTTTTATCATGAATGGGTGTTGAATTCTGTTGAATGGGTAATTACACTGATTGAATTTTGAATGTTAAAACCAGCTTTGCATGACTACAATAAACTCTGATTGACCATGGTATATTGCTCTTATAATATACTGCTGGATTACTAATACTTCCATAAGGATTTTTACATTTATTTATAAGAGAAACTGACCTATAGTTTTCTGTTATTATGATATCTTTGTCTGCTTTTGGTATCAGAGTAATGTCAGTCTCATAAGATCAGCAGTGTTCCTTCTCTCTTCCTCTAATTTCTGGAAAAATATGTGTATAATTGGTTATTATTTCTTCCTTAAATGTTTGCTAGAAATCACCGGTGAAGTCAGTTGGACCTGGAGTTTTCTTTGTGAGAAGGCTTTATTTTATTTTTATTTTTTTAAAACGCCTACAGCACCTGATATTTCTAGGTGGTCTCCCATTGAAGTGTAACCCAGGCCTGACCCTGCTTAGCTTCGAGATCAGACGAGATCGGATATGTTCAGGGTGGCATGGCTGTAGAAATGTTTTAAATTATAAATTTGATTTCTTTGATATAGGATTATTTTTCTATTTCAGTAGATTTTGAGAATTGTGTCTTTCAAGAATTTTCGCCATTTCATCTAAGTTGTTGAATTCATTTTTCAGTTTTCAAGGATAGTTATTCAAGGATAACTCCTCACTATCCTTTTACTATCTCTAGGACCTTTAGTAATGAACCTCCTTTCATTTCTGATATCGATAATTTATATGTTCTCTCTTCTTCCTGATCAATTCAACCAATAATTTTACTGATCTTTTCAAAGAACTAGCTTGTGGTTTCATTATTTTTTTTCTCTTGTTTGTCTAGTTTCTATTTCATTGATTTCTGCTTTTATTTATATTATTTCCTTCCTTCAACTTACTTTGGGCTATTTTATTTGTTTGTTTTTAGCTTCCAAAGGTGAAACTTAGATCACTGACTTTGGATCTTTCTTATATTCTTATAAGCATTTAAAGCTATAAATATCCCCTTAAGCACTTCCTTAGCTGCATGCCACTAATTTTGATGTATTTATTTTCATTCCATTCAAAATATTTTGTAATTTCCCTTGTGGTATCTACTTTGACCATAGGTCAAAGTATGCTATTTAGTTTCTAAACATTTGGCTATTTCCTTGACATCTTTCTATTACTGATGTATATAATTCTTGTGTTGTAATTAGATACCATATTCTATATGATTTCAATTTTTAAATTTGTTGAGACTCATTTTATGGCCAAGAATATGATCTATCTTGGTGAAGTGTCATGAGCACTTGGTGACTGTTCCACATACACAATGATACACAGGCCGGCAAGGTAGAAATCTAAATCATAGCCCCATCTAAACTATAACTTACTGAATGACTTTAGACTAATCACTAACTATCTGAGTCTGTTACCTTTTCAAAAATATTAATGTATAAGACTTGATAATTTTCACAATCTCTCTCCCTCCATTAATTCCTTGGCAACCCTCCTATTACAGGTCTTTATTACATTATACTACGATTGCTTCCAAATTCATCTTGCAATACTTCTACATACTGTTATACCCATTTTCCAGTTAAGGATACTAAATGATGTTTAAGAGAAAGTTAGTAACTTACCCAAAGTAACAGAGACAGAGCTGGGGCCAGGGCACATCTTGCATATTATTTCACACATAAGCACCTGGAATGACTTCTTTCTTTCTTTTTATCTAAAACCTCTATCTCCTTCAATACCCAGAACTAATTCATCCTCTTCCTTACAGCCTTTCACTCTTCTAAATTTCCGGGGGATATTATAATATTACATTATTCATCTGCAAGGTAATCAAAACTTGTCTCATATTTTGTATCGATTGTCTTTTGTATTTTCACTTAAACTGTTCAGGTTGATGAAGGCAGACTGTATGAAAGGTGAGGAGCACTGGTTCTGTAGTTAGACAAAGGTGAATTCAAACCCTGGCTTTGCCACTTTGTGGCAGAGTGACCTGGGGCACAAAGTTAAACTTAAGAATAATCCTAAAAAAGAAGTTTAATTCAAGAGTAACTTTAAAATAGAGAGCTAATTTCTAATCTGTGGAAAAAGAATGTTTTCCTATTGTCTTTAAAAAAATTTTTTTTCTGCCTGATAAAGACTATATTGATCTCACAAATGTTTATAATATCTTAGAATGGTCATAATACTACAGCTGAATCTTATTCTTAACAAGGGCAGAGATGTTGAATTAACCACATCAGGACCCATGTCTTTACAGTTCCCTGTATCCCCATAGTATCCACCAAAGTCTTTTTTCTTGTAGTTGATGCCCAGCTATAATTTGTTGATTTCTCATATTCCTTACAACTCAAAAATCAAAAATGCACATATAAATCTAGATTCAGATTTATCATGTCACAGACTGTTCTTTTCCACATTAGATTAGAATTGATATTTTTTCATACTTTACAGTTTTCATAACTTTTAACCTCTACTATCTCGGGTAACAGTAGTAAGATTTTAAAATATTAAAAAAATACCTTCAAACCAACCAAAGAGAGAAACAAAGTTTGGATTCCCTTGGTAGATTCTTGAACAAGATGGCTATAACAGTTTTCCAATGGTCTGCTTATTAAGTCCAATACCTACAAAAGTTAAAGCAGTATTATGTTTTGTATTATTATAAAAAATGGTGTTTTATGTAAAATTTTTGATTTTGCATAGATCTTATGGAGGCAGGAGGAGATAAACATATAGACAAAAAAATTAAGCACTTATGCTCAAGAAAATGGAAAAAAAATAGGGAAAATACTTTTCATTGTTTGCCCGAAATATAAAAGTATTCAAACTATTCTTCCTAATTCTTAATCACAGAGAAGGAAACATTAAAGGAATATTAATAGTAATTTTAAAAAGATGATCTCATAAAAGGGCTAGACCAAACACCAAGAAAAGAAGACAAAACCGCCAGCCAACAATCAGATTGAGTATTACCTGTTGCTTGTCTTTTTCTTGCAATATAAGAATACTCTCCCCAACAGAATCTATTCCAGCACGGCCAGCTCTGCCAATCATCTGTTTATATTGATTCCTCTTTAAAAATTCTTTGGCAACATAGGGGGCTCTCAAAATAACTCTATGAAATTGATAAAAGTAATTAAAAGTGATACTCTGGAGCAATAGCACCTATTTTTTAAATTCTTAATTCCATTATATCTATGTGTTATTAAATTAAATGACATATTAACTTAAAATAAGTAACTACTGAGAATCTATGATGTCCTAGGTTCTTTATGTACATGTACAATATCTATAATTCTTATAAAACTTTGTAATATTTTTTAATTTAATTTTTTTCAAAGGGGCTAACTAAAAAACAGACAAGTTAACCTCAACCCACAAAATTAGTAATTACCAGAACTATGATTTGAATATAAGTCTGCCTAGCTGCAAAGCTCATGACCACTCCACTGTAGCAATAGTCTCCAAATATTTTTGATTTTATATTCCATAAATGAAAAATATCACCATGTATCACCAACATATGCCTATTTATTTATAAATTTATATTACTGTCAACATTATAAAGTTGCAGATTTAAAATGTTTTGACCTACAAACATGGTGATTTCAATCCTGCTTGTGTATATAGAATTCTGTAGCCAGCTTTTTTGTTCAAAGGTGAGAAAAAAACCTGACATTTACCTATACTGATCAACCTTCTCCTTTATTTATAAATCTTAATGGACAGCTAAGATTACCAAATACTTAAAGAAAATTAATGACATAACAGAAAAATAAGAACATAGAAAATAAATGTCTGACAGAAGCAGATAACGTAGGGAACAGAACTTCAAAAACTTCTAGGCCTTTGAGCCATGCTTCTCTTGCTCAGGCCCACTTCCATGTCTGGAAGGGTACTTTCCCTTCTAATAAAGCTTTTCTTTTCTGCTGTAATCAATCAATCAGTCAATCTAATTACTATCCACAGAAAATTCTAGAGGGTATTATATTCACAATATACAAGCAGACCATTATAAAAAGGCAATAAAAGAAGAGAGTTCTTGGAAATAAAAAAATTTTTTTTAATTCATTCTAAAAATTCAATAGCACTGAATAATGAATGAACATAGTTAAGGGATACAGCTAAAAAATGATTTTGTTATATAGAAGGTAAACTTAAAAAAAAAAATCACGTAGCTCATTTTTTCTTTTTTTGTCTGACACCTTAGTGTGGCCGCAGTGGTAGCAGCTGCTCTTAGAGCTTCACTACACCGCCCAAGGATGACAAAAATAAGACAGATGATGGAAAGTCAGCCAAAAAAGACAAAGACTCAGTGAACAAATGTGGGGGCAAGGCCAAAAAAGAAGAAAGGGTCCAAAGGCAAAGTTCAGGATCAGCTTAATAACTTAGTCTTGTTTGACAAAGCGACATATGACAATCTCTGTAAGAGAGTTCCCAACTATAAGCTTATAACCCCAGCTGTTGTCTTTGAAAGACAGACAATCTGAGACTCTTAGGCCAAGGCAGCCCTTCAGGAGCAACTTAGTAAAGGGCTTATTAAACTAGTTTCAAAGTACAGAGCTCTAGTAATATACACCAGAAACACCAAGGGTGGGGTGCCTCAGCTGCAGGTGAGGATGCATGAAAAACAGGTCCCATCGATTGTACAATTTGAAAAGTAAAACTTTATTAAATTAAAAAAAATCACATAGCTCATATAGTTTGAAAAATGTGAAGAAAAGAGATATGAAAGTTCAATCTAAGAAGTTCCAATTCTATCTACATGAAGTTACAACAGCAGAGAACAGATAATGAAGGGGAAAAAGTAATAAAACAATCAAAAAAATTACTCTAAGATGAAGAAAGGCACAAAACTTTATATTGAAAGTATATACCCAAGTTAAGCCCTATGAATGAAAAGCTAAATTGGGATAGTTGGGATTGTAGAATTAGTTTCCCAGGTTCAAACCTTGGCTTTGAAATTCATTTTGTTAGGCGTGAAATCAGGGAAGTTATTTAATTTTTCAGTGCCCCAGTTTTCCCTTCTATAAAATGTGGATAATAAAATATGACTTTGCTCACAAAGTCGTACTGAGGATCTGTTAAATCAATGCATGTAAAGTTGTTATGACATGAGGGAGGGAGTGTAAAAGCTGCAATTATTATTATACACAATGATGAAATTTTAAGGTTAAAGAGAAAAGTCTAAAAGCTTCTGAAGGGGACTAAATGGCAAGCTTAGGCAAAAACAAAATGAGCAACACTGGCTCCTAAAAAACATGAACAATACTACCATGTCACCCCTCCAAAAAAAAATTAAACCTAGAATTCTTTTCTTAGCAAGTTTTAAGGTGTGAGGCTAAAATAAAGACATCTTCAGCTACACAAAGACAAAAATTTTTACACCAAGTAGGTTGGATTAAACATGGCGGAGTGAGAGACGTTCCCAGATCTCTCCCCTTGAAATGACAATAAGCTGAACATCTAAAACTCAACAAAAAACACCCAAACTGCACATGAGCACGTCTGAGTGTGGGATGTGTGCATAAGAGCTACCACAGGTCAGAACCCTGGCTGTTGGACAGTGGACTGGGAGAAGTAAAGAAGTTGCCTCTCACAGTCGGAGTTCCCTGTAGGAGGAGGGGGAGGGGAAAAGGAGCAGCGAGTTCCCTGAAAAACCCTGCCTGGGAGTGCTCTGAGCTCCCTGCAGCTGGTAGCAGTGCCCCATCATCAGGGCAGAAGTCAGAGAAATGCGGACAGCAGAAAAGCGGGGACCAGAGAGAAACAATAGTTGAGTTTTACCAGCTGCAGTTGCAAAACAGAGGCTGAGCTGCAGTACCTATATCCAAACCAAGAGGGTCCTCACCCCCTAACCTCTGAGATGGAATGCCACGAAGCCCCATGGGAATCTGAGCTAACACTACCAAAACTGTTGCTAACACTGACAAGAACTGAGAATGAGAGTAGTGAGAGTGATTAAACATCTATAAGGAAAAAAAAAAGACATTATTAAGATTTTATATAAAGCAGAGATCCAAGAGGCTTAAACACCACCTACTGGAAACCAGAAGAAAAACACCTTCTTTGCAACAGGCTGGGGACCATTATATAATAAATCTTATTTCTGGACAAAAAATGCAGAGCACATTTCCATTAATGCCTAGGCGGAGAAATAGTCCATTAAATACCATGAACAACCAAGGTGACAAGGCTTCTCAGAAAGAAAGAGAAAAATCTCCAAGAAATAAGCTTACAGACATAGAAATAAGCAATTTAAATGACAGAAAATTAAGGATAGTATTTCTGAAAAAAAGCAGTGAGATCCAAAACAAATCATATCAACAATTTCAGGAATTGAAAGAAACAACTAGATGAGCAGGATAAGTTCATTAGCTGGGAGACTGAGACCCTCAAAAAGAACCAGATAGACCTTCTGGAGATAAAGAACACATGGCAAGAATTGAAAATGAAATAACAAGCTTGAGAAATAGAGTCAACCAAATGAAGGAAAGGATCAGTGAAGACAGAAATCTACAAATAAATCAGAAAGAAGAAGAGAGAAACCGAAGAATGAAAAATAATGAAAGAGAAATACAAGAACTAGCTAATACCATCAGGAGAGGAAACATAAGAATGATGGGAATTCTTGAAGGGGAGGAGAAGGAACGGGGACTAGAAACCATTTTCAGACAAATAGTGGATGAGAAATTCCAAAATCTAAGGAATGAGCTGGAGCTTGGAATTCAAGAAGTCAACAGAACACCCAATATCTCAACAAAAAGGCCTTCACCAAGACACAGTTTAATAAAATTATCAAAAATCAACGACAAAGACAGAATTCTCAGGGCAGCCAGGGAAAAGCACATGGTAACCTATAAAGAAAAACTCATTAGAGTATCATCAGACTTCTCAGCACAAACCTTACAAGCCAGAAAGGAATAGAATCAAATATTCAAACTATTAAATGAAAGGAACTATCAGCCAAGAATAATGTATCCAGCTAAGTTCTCCTTTAGATATGAAGGGGAAATAAAGACCTTTCCAGACATTCAAAAATGAGGGAATTCTCCACTGCAAGGCCTGCACTACAGAAAATACTGAAAGGGGTCAGCTCACCTAAAACAAAATGACAACAAAAAAAACCATAATTAGGAGTAAGGTGACAAGCAGGCTGATAAATCAGTAGAATGCAACTCTTACTAGGAACAGGCCATTATAAGCTTAGAAATTAAGGAGGGAACTTAGGAAGATAACATGGAGGTGGGAGAAAACAAGACAAGGGGTCAGATTTCAGGATCATTAACAAGATTATGTGCTCTCTTAAAGGTGCTATCCTGGATGCACAGAAACGATGGTCAGGACTTCCTTAAGGCAAAGACCAGCATTTTAGTAGAGAAGTTACATAACAGGGGTGTGAC